CAATAACCGGTCAGTGACACTAAATATACAGTCACAGGCAATAACCGGTCAGTCACACTAAATATACAGTCACAGGCAATAACCGGTCAGTGACACTAAATATACAGTCACAGGCAATAACTGGTCAGTGACACTAAATATACAGTCACAGGCAATAACCGGTCAGTGACACTAAATATACAGTCACAGGCAATAACCGGTCAATCACACTAAATATACAGTCACAGGCAATAACCGGTCAGTGACACTAAATATACAGTCACAGGCAATAACCGGTCAGTGACACTAAAGATACAGCCACAGGCAATAACCGGTCAGTGACACTAAATATACAGTCACAGGCAATAACCGGTCAGTCACACTAAATATACAGTCACAGGCAATAACCGGTCGCTCACACAAAATATTCAGTCACAGGCAATAACCGGTCAGTGACACTAAATATACAGCCACAGGCAATAACCGGTCAGTGACACTAAATATACAGTCACAGTCAATAACCGGTCAGTGACACTAAATATACAGCCACAGGCAATAACCGGTCAGTGACACTAAATATACAGTCACAGGCAATAACCGGTCAATCACACTAAATATACAGTCACAGGCAATAACCGGTCAATCACACTAAATATACAGTCACAGGCAATAGCTGGTCAATCACACTAAATATACAGCCACAGGCAATAACCGGTCAATCACACTAAATATACAGCCACAGGCAATAACCGGTCAGTCACACTAAATATACAGTCACAGGCAATAACCGGTCAGTCACACTAAATATACAGTCACAGGCAATAACCGGTCAGTGACACTAAATATACAGTCACAGGCAATAACCGGTCAGTGACACTAAATATACAGTCACAGGCAATAACCGGTCAGTCACACTAAATATACAGCCACAGACAATAACCGGTCAGTGACACTAAATATACAGTCACAGGCAATAACCGGTCAGTCACACTAAATATACCGCCACAGGCAATAACCGGTCAGTGACACTAAATATACAGCCACAGGCAATAACCGGTCAGTCACACTAAATATACAGTCACAGGCAATAACCGGTCAGTGACACTAAATATACAGTCACAGGCAATAACCGGTCAGTGACACTAAATATACAGTCACAGCCAATAACTGGTCAGTCACACTAAATATACAGTCACAGCCAATAACCGGTCAGTCACACTAAATATACCGCCACAGGCAATAACCGGTCAGTCACACTAAATATACAGCCACAGGCAATAACCGGTCAGTCACACTAAATATACAGTCACAGGCAATAACCGGTCAGTGACACTAAATATACAGCCGCAGGCAATAACCGGTCAGTGACACTAAATGTACAGCCACAGGCAATAACCGGTCAGTGACACTAAATATACAGCCACAGCCAATAACCGGTCAGTGACACTAAATATACAGCCACAGGCAATAACCGGTCAATCACACTAAATATACAGCCACAGGCAATAACCGGTCAATCACACTAAATGTACAGTCACAGGCAATAACCGGTCAGTGACACTAAATATACAGCCACAGGCAATAACCGGTCAGTGACACTAAATATACAGTCACAGGCAATAACCGGTCAGTGACACTAAATATACAGTCACAGGCAATAACCGGTCAGTGACACTAAATATACAGTCACAGGCAATAACCGGTCAGTGACACTAAATATACAGTCACAGGCAATAACCGGTCAGTGACACTAAATATACAGTCACAGGCAATAACCGGTCAGTGACACTAAATATACAGTCACAGGCAATAACCGGTCAGTGACACTAAATATACAGTCACAGGCAATAACCGGTCAGTGACACTAAATATACAGCCACAGGCAATAACCGGTCAGTGACACTAAATATACAGCCACAGGCAATAACCGGTCAGTGACACTAAATATACAGCCACAGGCAATAACCGGTCAGTCACACTAAATATACAGCCACAGGCAATAACCGGTCAGTCACACTAAATATACAGTCACAGGCAATAACCGGTCAGTCACACTAAATATACAGCCACAGGCAATAACCGGTCAGTGACACTAAATATACAGTCACAGGCAATAACCGGTCAGTGACACTAAATATACAGTCACAGGCAATAACCGGTCAGTCACACTAAATATACAGTCACAGGCAATAACCGGTCAGTGACACTAAATATACAGTCACAGGCAATAACCGGTCAGTCACACTAAATATACAGCCACAGGCAATAACCGGTCAGTGACACTAAATATACAGTCACAGGCAATAACCGGTCAGTGACACTAAATATACAGTCACAGGCAATAACTGGTCAGTGACACTAAATATACAGCCACAGGCAAAAACCGGTCAGTCACACTAAATATACAGCCACAGGCAATAACCGGTCAGTGACACTAAATATACAGTCACAGGCAATAACCGGTCAGTGACACTAAATATACAGTCACAGGCAATAACCGTTCAGTCACACTAAATATACAGCCACAGGCAATAACCGGTCAGTCACACTAAATATACAGTCACAGGCAATAACCGGTCAGTCACACTAAATATACAGTCACAGCCAGTAACCGGTCAGTGACACTAAATATACATTCACAGGCAATAACCGGTCAGTGACACTAAATATACAGTCACAGGCAATAACCGGTCAGTGACACTAAATATACAGTCACAGGCAATAACTGGTCAGTGACACTAAATATACAGTCACAGGCAATAACCGGTCAGTCACACTAAATATACAGTCACAGGCAATAACCGGTCAGTCACACTAAATATACAGCCACAGGCAATAACCGGTCAGTCACATTAAATATACAGTCACAGGCAATAACCGGTCAGTCACACTAAATATACAGTCACAGGCAATAACCGGTCAATCACACTAAATATACAGCCACAGGCAATAACCGGTCAGTGACACTAAATATACAGTCACAGGCAATAACCGGTCAGTCACACTAAATATACAGCCACAGGCAATAACCGGTCAATCACACTAAATATACAGTCACAGGCAATAACCGGTCAATCACACTAAATATACAGCCACAGGCAATAGCTGGTCAATCACACTAAATATACAGCCACAGGCAATAACCGGTCAGTGACACTAAATATACAGCCACAGGCAATAACTGGTCAGTGACACTAAATATACAGCCACAGGCAATAACTGGTCAGTGACACTAAATATACAGTCACAGGCAATAACCGGTCAATCACACTAAATATACAGTCACAGGCAATAACCGGTCAGTCACACTAAATATACAGCCACAGGCAATAACCGGTCAGTCACACTAAATATACAGCCACAGGCAATAACCGGTCAGTGACACTAAATATACGGTCACAGGCAATAACCGGTCAGTCACACTAAATATACAGCCACAGGCAATAACCGGTCAGTGACACAAAATATACAGTTACAGGCAATAACCGGTCAGTCACACTAAATATACAGTCACAGGCAATAACCGGTCGCTCACACAAAATATTCAGTCACAGGCAATAACCGGTCAATCACACTAAATATACAGTCACAGGCAATAACCGGTCAATCACACTAAATATACAGTCACAGGCAATAGCTGGTCAATCGAACTAAATATACAGTCACAGGCAATAACCGGTCAATCACACTAAATATACAGTCACATAGAAACATAGAAACATAGAAACATAGAATGTGACGGCAGATAAGAACCATTCGGCCCATCTAGTCTGCCCAATTTTCTAAAAACTTTCATTAGTCCCTATGTATATCTTATAGTTAGGATGTATATACCTATCCATACATGCTTAAACTCCTTTACTGTGTTAACCTCTACCACTTCAGCTAGGCTATTCCATGCATCCACTACCCTCTCAGTAAAGTAATACTTCCCTGATATTATTTTTTAAACCTTTGTCCCTCTAATTTAAGACTATGTCCTCTTGTTGTAGTGGTTTTACCTTCTTTTTAAATGCATAATTCTCCTCCTTTGCAATGTTGATTCCCTTTTATATATTTAAATGTTTCTATCATATCCCCTGTCTCGTCTTTCCTCCAAACTATACATGTTAAGATCCTTTTACTTCCTTTTCCTGGTAAGTTTATCCCGCAATCCATGAACTAGTTTAGTAGCCCTTCTCTGAACTCTCTCTAAAGTATCACTATCCTTCTGGAGATATGGTCTCCAGTACTGCGTACAATACTCAGAGTGAGGTCTCACCAGTGTTCTGTACAATGGCATGAGCAGTTCCCTCTTTCTACTGCTAATATCTCTCCCTATACAACCAAGCATTCTGCTAGCATTTCCTGCTGCTCTATTACATTGTCTGCCTACCTTTAAGTCATCAGAAATAATCACCCCTAAATCCCTTTCCTCATATATTTTGAGGTTAGGACTCTATCAAATATTCTGTACTCTGCCCTTGGGTTTTTACGTCCAAGATGCATTATCTTGCACTTATCACATTAAATGTCAGTTGCCACAATTCTGACCATTTTTCTAGTTTACCTAAATCATTTGTCATTTGGCTTATCCCTCCTGGAACATCAGCCCTGTTACATATCTTAGTATCATCAGCAAAAAGACATACCTTACCATCAAGACCTTCTGCAATATCACTAATAAAATTATTAAAGAGAATGGGTCCAAGTACAGATCCCTGAGGTACCCCACTGGTGACAAGTCCAAGCTTCGAATATATTCCATTAACTACAACCCTCTGTTGCTTGTCACTCAGCCACTGCCTTACCCATTCAACAATATTTGAATCAAACTTAAAGATTGCAGTTTATTGATAAAGCCTTCTATGTGCAACAGTGTCAAAAGCCTTACTGAAATCTAGGTAAGCAATGTCTACTGCACCACCCTGATCTATAATTTTAGTTACCCAATCAAAAAATCAATAAGATTAGTTTGGCATGATCTCCCTGAAGTAAACCCATGTTGTCTCTGATCTTCTTTAGATGTTCATCAATCCTATCCTTTAACATGGTTTCCATCACTTTCCCTACTACTGAAGTAAGGCTTACTGGCCTATAGTTGCAAATGGGCACAACATTCGCTAACTTCCAATCTTCTGGGACTACTCCTGTTAGCAATGATTGGTTAAATAAATCTGTTAATGGTTTTGCTAGTACACCACTAAGCTCTTTTAATAGCTTTGGGTGTATTCCATCAGGTCCCATTGACTTATTTGTCTTTACTTTTGACAGTTGAAATAGAACCTCTTCCTCTGTAAACTCACGTGTAATAAATGACTCATTTATCCTTTTTCTCAACTGAGGTCCTTTCCTTCATTTTCTACTGTAAATACAGAACAAAAATATTCATTGAGGCAGTCAGCCTGACCTTTATCCTCTTCTACATACCTTCCTTCTTTTGTTTTTAATCTAACTAATCCTTGTTTTACTTTTCTTTTCTCATTTATGTATCTAAAAAATGTTTTGTCCCCCTTTTTTACTGACTGTGCTATTTTTCTCTTCTGTGTGTGATTTGGAAGCTCTTATAACTTGCTTAGCCTCTTTCTGCCTAATCTTATAGATCAAACTGATCTGTGTGTGTGTGTGTGTGTGTGTATGGACTCATGATCTGTGTGTGTGTGTGTGTGTGTGTGGACTCAGCAGTGTATGTGTGTATGGACTCAGCAGTCTGTGTGTGTGTGTGTGTGTGTGTGGACTCAGCAGTCTGTGTGTGTGTGTGTGTATGGACTCAGCAGTGTGTGTATATAGACTCAGCAGTCTGTCTGTGTGTATGGACTCAGCAGTCTGTATGTGTGTATGGACTCAGTAGTCTATGTGTATGGACTCAGCAGTCTGTCTGTGTGTGTGGACTCAGCAGTCTGTGTGTGTGTGTATGGACTCAGCAGTGTGTGTGTGTGTGTGTGTGTTTGTGTGTATGGACTCAGCAGTCTGTATGTGTGTATGGACTCAGCAGTGTGTATGTGTGTGTTGACTCAGCAGTCTGTGTGTGTGTATGGACTCAGCAGTGTGTGTGTATGGACTCAGCAGTCTGTCTGTGTGTATGGACTCATTAGTCTGTATGTGTGTATGGACTCAGTAGTGTGTGTGTATGGATTCAGCAGTCTGTATGTGTGTATGGACTCAGCAGTGTGTATGTGTGTGTGGACTCAGCAGGCTATGTGTGTGTATGCACTCAGCAGTCTTTGTGTATGTATGGACTCAGCATTCTGTATGTGTGTATGGACTCAGCAGTCTGTATGTGTGTGTGGACTCAGCAGTCTGTGTGTGTATGGACCAAGCAGTCTGTGTGTGTGTGTGTGTGTGTGCATGGACTCAGCAGTCTGTGTGTGTGCGTGTGTGTGTGTGTGTATGGACTCAGCAATCTGTGTGTGTGTGTATGGACTCAGCAGTATGTGTGTGTGTGTGTGTGTGTGGACTCAGCAGTCAGTGTGTGTGTGTGTGTATGGACTCAGCAGTCTGTATGTGTTCATGAACTCAGCAGTCTGTATGTATGTGTGGACTCAGTAGTCTCTGTGTGTGTGTATGGACTCAGCAGTCTGTCTGTGTGTGTGGACTCAGCAGTCTGTGTGTGTGTGTGTGTGTGTATGGACTCAGCAGTGTGTGTGTGTGTGTGTGTGTGTATGGACTCAGCAGTCTGTATGTGTGTATGGACTCAGCAGTGTGTATGTGTGTGTGGACTCAGCAGTCTATGTGTGTGTGTGGACTCAGCAGTCTGTGTGTGTGTATGGACTCAGCAGTCTGTGTGTGTGTATGGACTCAGCAGTATGTGTGTGTATGAACTCAGCAGTGTGTGTGTATGGACTCAGCAGTCTGTCTGTGTGTATGGACTCATTAGTCTGTATGTGTGTATGGACTCAGTAGTGTGTGTGTATGGATTCAGCAGTCTGTATGTGTGTATGGACTCAGCAGTGTGTATGTGTGTGTGGACTCAGCAGTCTATGTGTGTGTATGCACTCAGCAGTCTTTGTGTATGTATGGACTCAGCATTCTGTATGTGTGTATGGACTCAGCAGTCTGTATGTGTGTGTGGACTCAGCAGTCTGTGTGTGTATGGACCAAGCAGTCTGTGTGTGTGTGTGTGTGTGTGTGTGCATGGACTCAGCAGTCTGTGTGTGTGTATGGACTCTGCAATGTGTGTGTATGCACTCAGCAGTATGTATGTGTATGGACTCAGCCGTCTGTGTGCGTGTGTGTGTGGACTCAGCAGTCTATATGTGTGTATGGACTCAGCAGTCTGTGTGTGTGTGGGGGGGGGCTTTTAAACATAAATAAAAAATGGAGGGGGAGTTAATGTCCTCCCCCTGGCCGCTGTGTAAAATGAAACAATGAACTCTGATTGGCTGAATTTCAAGCTAACCAATCAGAGTGCTCTGTGTCATTTTACACAGCATGGGAAAATTCAAAGAACTTTCCCAGGCTGTGTAAAATGACACAGAGCACTCTGATTGGTTACTTAATCAACTAATCAGAGTACTCTGTGTCATTTTACAAAGCGTGGGAAAATTCCAAAGAACTTTCCCACGCTGTGTTAAATGACACAGAGCACTCTGATTGGTGGATTTCAAACCAACCAATCAGAGTGCTGTGACAGGTAAATGTAGTATGGACTCAGCAGTCTGTCTGTGTGTGTGGACTCAGCAGTCTGTGTGTGTGTGTGTGTGTGTGTGTGTGTATGGACTCAGCAGTGTGTGTGTGTGTGTGTGTGTGTATGGACTCAGCAGTCTGTATGTGTGTATGGACTCAGCAGTGTGTATGTGTGTGTGGACTCAGCAGTCTATGTGTGTGTGTGGACTCAGCAGTCTGTGTGTGTGTATGGACTCAGCAGTCTGTGTGTGTGTATGGACTCAGCAGTATGTGTGTGTATGAACTCAGCAGTGTGTGTGTATGGACTCAGCAGTCTGTCTGTGTGTATGGACTCATTAGTCTGTATGTGTGTATGGACTCAGTAGTGTGTGTGTATGGATTCAGCAGTCTGTATGTGTGTATGGACTCAGCAGTGTGTATGTGTGTGTGGACTCAGCAGTCTATGTATGTGTATGCACTCAGCAGTCTTTGTGTATGTATGGACTCAGCATTCTGTATGTGTGTATGGACTCAGCAGTCTGTATTTGTGTGTGGACTCAGCAGTCTGTGTGTGTATGGACCAAGCAGTCTGTGTGTGTGTGTGTGTGTGTGTGTGTGTGCATGGACTCAGCAGTCTGTGTGTGAGTGTGTGTGTGTGTGTGTGTGTATGGACTCAGCAATCTGTGTGTGTATGGACTCAGCAGTCTGTGTGTGTGTGTGTGTGTGGACTCAGCGGTCTGTGTGTGTGTGTGTGAGTGTATGGACTCAACCTTGAGGGTCTGTATGTGTGTGTGGACTCTCAGCGGTGTATGTCTGTGTATGGACTCAACTTGGTCTGTGTGTGTGTGTGTGTGTATGGACTCAGTAGTCTCTGTGTGTGTGTGTGTGCGTATGTATGGACTCAGCAGTCTGTGTGTGTGTATGGACTCAGCAGTCTGTATGTGTATATGGACTCAACAGTGTGTGTGTATGGACTCAGCAGTGGGTGTGTATGGATTCAGCAGTCTGTGTGTATGGACTCAGCAGTATGTGTGTGTGTGTGTGTGTGTGTGCATGGACTCAGCAGCCTGTGTGTGTGTATGGACTCTGCAATGTGTGTGTATGGACTCAGCAGTATGTATGTGTATGGACTCAGCCATCTGTGTGCGTGTGTGTGTGGACTCAGCAGTCTATATGTGTGTATGGACTCAGCAGTCTGTGTGTGTGTGTGGGGGGGCTTTTAAACATAAATAAAAAATGGAGGGGGAGTTAATGTCCTCCCCCTGGCCGCTTTGTAAAATGAAACAATGAACTCTGATTGGCTGAATTTCAAGCTAACCAATCAGAGTGGTCTGTGTCATTTTACACAGCATGGGAAAATTCAAAGAACTTTTCCACGCTGTGTAAAATGACACAGAGCACTCTGATTGGTTACTTAATCAACTAATCAGAGTACTCTGTGTCATTTTACAAAGCGTGGGAAAATTCCAAAGAACTTTCCCACGCTGTGTTAAATGACACAGAGCACTCTGATTGGTGGATTTCAAGCCAACCAATCAGAGTGCTGTGACAGGTAAATGTAGAGACTTACCTGTCAGTCTCTTCATTTACCTGTCAGAGCACTCTGATTAGATGGCATAAACCCACCTATCAGAGTGCTCTGAACGTAATTGCAGGGCGAAGCAAGGCTTTATAAGCCTTCCCCCACCTGCAGAGCTCAGTCTGCGCGGAGCCCTCCAGGTGAACATGGATTTTTCCTTATTTGTTTACAGTGCGTCGGTTATTATGGATTTTGATTTGGCCTTTTTTGGGGCTGAAAAAAGAAGATTTAAGAAGAAAACATCAAATGGTAAGTTTTATTTTATCTTTTTTAACAGGTACTTAGTTAATGCCCCCCCCCTCATTATTTTAGGGTGAGGGGGGTAGGTCGGGGTTAGTTTTTTTTGGGGGGGTTTGGAAACCCCTAGTCACCTGGGGGGGATTTTTATTTACGGCCCCCACCCACCACTCAGGAGTGGGGGCCGGGGGGAGAACATTAGGTCCCCCCTTATTGTTATTTAGGGCCCCCACCCGCCGCACAGACTACCTTAGGTCCCCCATTGTTATTTAGGGCCCCCACCAGCCGCGCAGGGGTGGAGGCTGGGGATAGGACCTTTGGTCCCCCCCTCATGCTATTTAGGGTCCCCACCTGCCACGCAGGGGTGGGTGCTGGGGTGGAGGACCTTAGGTCCCCCATTGTTATTTAGGGCTCCCACCCACCGCTCAGGGGAGGGGGCGGTGGGGGAGGACAGTAGGTCCCCTCCTTATTGTTATTTAGGCCCCCCACCCACCGGGTTGGGGCTAGGGCCCCCCAGCTGCCGCGCAGTGGTGGGGGCCGGGGGGGATGACAGTAGGTCCCCCCCAAATTCTTGTTTAGGGCCCAAACTGCCGCTCAGGGGTGGGGGGTGGGGGGGAGGACATTAGGTCCCCCCATTTTTTATTTATGGCCCCCACCCACTGCGCAGGGGTGGGGGTCGGAGGGGAGGACAGTAGGTCCCCCCTTATTGTTATTTAGGGGCCCCACCCATTGCACAGTGGTGGGGGCAAAAAAATATAGTTTTTTTGTTTGTTTTTTTACAATGGCTGCTCACTGTTTACTAGACACGCCCCTACTCGCGGTATAGCAAGTAGGGGCTGAATTTACTAATACTAAGTAATCTTTACTTAGTATTAGTAAATGTGGCTGAAAGACCA